AGTGGCATAAAAGGCTAAATATTTCAAAAAGCTAAAGTTGCACCAATACCAAAGGTCATGGCAGGATTGTCTTTTTGATTTATGTTGAAATAGTTTGAAAACTGCAGGACAAGAATCACTCTGAAAAACATATGCAAGAAAAATGGATCACAATAGTGTGAATGCTTCATAAACATTCACACAAGAGATTATAGAGCAGGGAAAAATCTGACTAAGGGTCCAGATTACGTCTTTAATAATTTAAACACATAAATGCAGACAAACTTCTTGATGAAGATTTCAAAGTGGCTTTTAACGAGCGCTGTTATCGTGCAGGCTGCTGTTCCAGGACAGGATGGATGTCTGGGAAGAAACTGAGGCCAAGATTAAGTCTGATGCTGCTGTGGGCACTTCTCCCAACAAGGTGAGTGATTGTTTGTGTTTATTGTTGCCAGGTAACAGTGCGTGTTTGAGCTCAGCCACATGTCTGTTTCAGGAAGTTGCATCTATCTTGAAAGAACTTCGAAGTGTTCAGAAACAGCTTGAGGGTGAGACTCATTTTAAGCACTTTATTTTGTTTTAGGTTTTACGCAAAAATTAAAAAGTAAAGTTTGTTTTTCCTTTATCTTTAGTCGTTAATGCTGTCCTGGAACCCAGTGGTACGCTGGAAGCCACGAGGGCTTCCTCCTCCTCCTCGTCGTCTGAAGCTCGCTCCTCCAGAGCGCCTTTGTCTCGAGACTGGAGGACGGTCCATTCTGTTTCCAAGCGTGGCGGCGGGCCGAGGCCCAGCGGGAGCGTCAGGAGAGCTGCCGTGACTCCAGACGACCTCAGAGAGGGATATGTAGTCTGAGGTCTGACTCGTACGCCGATACAGACTACAACCTGGGCTGAACCTGCGCTGCGGCGCCACACAACCAGCTGGTAGACGTCTGAGCAAGTGAAACTAGATGGAAGGGGAAGTAAAACTTGAGTTATAAAGCTGAAACCTTTGTTGCATTCAAACGAACACGCTACACTGCGGACACTCATAGTGGTGTTCTTGAGTCAGTAGGAGACACTTTTAAAGCACAACTAATGAGTGGCATGCCTGTCAGGTGATGATTTAAGGAAGTGCCATGACATTTCAGTAAATCTCATCTTTAACAGGCCACCATGTTATTACTTGATTCTCTCTTTTACAGATTGTTTTTGATATTTGCCAATCATATGACCCTTATGTTTGATTTTTATATAAAGAGTTTGGTGTAATTATGTAATTTGAGAAGTATCCTGAGCATAATTATCTCAGGGAAATCTTTGATATTGTGTGTTTAATGTCAAATCTGCTGTTTGTGTACTTGTATCAGTAATTTCGAGGCATTTCTTTACATATTTTTCCATGTTTTGTGCCATGTTTTTGCAGACAGAAGAATATGAAATTATTTATTAGTGGGGTTTTGTTTATCCCGATAGACGGAGCAGACTTTTCTTTGTGGGGAGACTTGGTATCTTCTTGTGCCAGACCAGTGAATGTTGCATTACACATTTAGGAGTGTTTTGGCTTTGGGAATATTTCCCTACACGGGAGAAAATTTGCAATCTGAACCAGAGGAGGAGCTCATTCAGTCACCAAACTTTTGAGCATTGCTGAATTTTAACAGTATATTTGTGTCAAAAACAGTAGAGGCATTGAAGCTTTTTGGCTAAAATTGATTGTAAAAGGTCGTGATGTACAGGCCAGAAGTTATGAGAATAATGTGGTCAGTCTGAAACCCTTTTTTCTTGAGACACAAGACAAAATAAATTATTTTAAAGTTTGTTCAAAAATAAACATAAGTTCTCTATATCTTCACCAAATTACCTCAGTCGTGTCTTTTGCACTAATGTAAATCAACATTCTTCCTCCCCTGTAAGTGACTAATCAACTTTTTCTGGTGAAGTCAAAGTCAATCTGAGTTTCGTCCCAAAACGAATTGTACGTGAGGTTGAGAAGAACCTCGAGTGTCGTACGGCTGTGTGGGCCGAAGCTTCTTGCAGCCGAGTAAAGTGTTTGTTTACAAGCTGAATGTCCTTCCCATCATGCTGCTGCTTCTCTGTGGAAAACTGTTTCCATCAGAGTTACAATCAGAAAGTGAATCTTATGTGTCAAATTTGTGCCTTTCTGTAAAATATTAAGTTTCTGTTTCTCCATTTCCCCCCTTCTTACACGATTGGGTATTAAATAACTGGTATTTTTCTTTTATTTTTAATGTGTGGCGAATTAGGTTTTTCTTTTCTCGAATAAACGCGATCAACAAACGTGGCCTCTTGTGACCCCCTTTAATGCAGATGCTGCACCACACTTTGCAATTCCTGAGCAAATGCATGTCTGTAAAGCTGAAATGAAAGTAAAAAGAGGAACTGTGCCGAGATATATTAAACTGCAGAGATCAGTTTCAGCTGAAAGCCAGAGAGGAAGAAACACCTTCAAGGTGAAGAGGAGCCGCTTTCTGTAAGTTCATTCTTTTATTCCCACGTTTTATGAGCTGAATGTCTCAAAAGTCACACGTTTTCTGGTTTTGATCTTCAAAAAGCCAGCTGTGATTGAGAAGGGAAGATGACCTCGACGTACAGCAGCCTTCATGACAACTACGTTTCAAACAAAGGGGTAGGACACCACTAACTGCCTGAGCTCATCTTTCTGCTTGGTTGGCTTGTACCATTCGTTCATGTTCTCTGTTAGAGGAGGACCAGCTGTGTGACGTTGGCTGTGGTTTTGGGCTGTTTGACTGTTCTGGGCATTGTTCTTGCCATTGTTGTGCTGGAGAGACCCCCAACAACAGAAGGTCATGAAACTCAAGACTTTGAAGACAACTTCACTCAGTGCCAGTAAGAATCCCATCAAACACTCGTAACGCCCGGCTGTTGCATTAAAAACTCAGAATCATGGTCTTTTACATACTTTATCTTCTAGTATGTCCCTAGTGGAGAGCATTCCAGTGTATTTAAAGTATAAAGACAACGTAACATTTGGGATCCCACTGGAGCAAGTCTGGAACGATCTGATCTCTGCTGCAACAAAGCAAGTGGACGTGGTCTCGTTTTACTGGACACTAACAGGAGAGGACATCAATATCAACACTTCCTCTGATGTTTTAGTGAGTCATCATGTTAAATGATGTTTAAATAATGAAAACTTCAGCCAAATCTTTGTTGGTTTTGAGTATTTGTAATGTCCTCTGCAGGGAAAAGAGATCCTGAAGAGACTCGAGGAGCTGCCCAGCAGGAACGTATCCGTCCGACTTGTGAGCAGCGTTCCTTCAGTCAGAACAAACTCCACTGATTTAAAGATCTTAAAACAAAAAGGTTTGGAAGTTCTTCCTGTTCATGTGTGTTATGTCTACCATGCAGTGTTGTATAAAATGCCTCAAAGTGATACTTCAGTGAAAGTACAAGTATCTTACCACAAGATTGCTTTGTTTGTTAGTCTCCTTTAAAATTATTATTTGAGAAAAAGTCTTAAAGTATCTGACATTGAATGTACTTAAGTATAAAAAGTAAACTTCTCATATTAAATATACTTAAAAGTAAGAAGTAGAATTTCCCAAACATTTATTGGGTGCAATATCCAATGACAAAAACTTGGAAAGTTTGAACTGAACAATGAAAGATTGCTCTTTAAAAAGTCTGACTCTAATGAAGTATATTCATTCAACCTTTATTAATCTTTATTAACAAAGCTGTTGGAAAACTCACATTGTTGTTTAGTTGGTTTGTTGTTTAGTTGGTTTGTTTACTGAGCTCGCTTCTGTTTGGTTATGGCTTGTTTCTTTCTGAACTTGGCGCTATATAAATAAACTGAATTTAATTGAATGCAATAGTCTCTATGCTCTTGAATGCACCGTGACTGTTCCAAAGCTAGTGAACACACCGCTCTGTGTAAAGTGCAGAGCTCAGTTGGAGGTTTATTTTTTATTTTTTTATTCTCTCCTGACACGGACGGAGCCTTGTTGTTCAAGCTTGTTTGTTCATTACTGGTTTACTGCTGTGTGTAAATACCAGAAGAAACACAGCAAACAAATCACCCCAAACTGGAAATCTGTCTCCATGTTCTTTAATGGGAAGACTGGTGGCTCAACAACTTCATACTTTGCTGCTCTAACCAGTTAATGTCCTGGAGAACACTAAACCTCTCCTTTGTAGCAGCTACCGTCGTTTTCACAACCATCAGGAATTTACAGTGACTCCACTGTGAGTCAACAAAGACCTGATGTAACGATTGATATCTGCATGTGCATCTAGCTTCTTCACAGCAGGCACCGCAGTTTTCACACAAGCAGCGGGGGAGGGACTGGGTTTGTGAAGTCACAAACTGGGTGAACAACCAAGCATTGCCCAATCAGATTTCTTCTAATTTTATATTGTAGGAACAAGTAACTAAGATGGTTAAGGGAAATGTATCAGAGTAAAAGTACACATTTTATTGTATTTAATGTAGTGGAGCAAAAGTGAAAGTCACTAGAAATGTAAATAACAAAGTAAAGTAAAGACGTCACAGTTCTACTCAAGTACAGTAACAAGTATTTCTACTTTGTTACATTACAACGCTGCTGCTAACGAGGTTAAGTCAGGTCCTCCAGACTGGATCTACCTGGATTATATATAGAGCATGCATCAGGACTTTGTGCGTGTTATGGTTTGTCTGCAGGAGTTCAGGTGAGGAAGGTGAACTTTGGCCGCCTGACTAATGGTGTCCTCCACAGCAAGTTCTGGATTGTCGACAGAAAACACGTGTTCATCGGAAGTGCCAACATGGACTGGAGGGCTCTTACACAAGTAAAATCCTTTATAATCACACCATTAGTCATTATTGTTTTGCCTCGGTGCATGCACATCTATTTTGTTGGCAAAATGAACCACTGGACAAGTCGTTCTCTTTTGTCTACAGGTGAAGGAACTTGGAGTGGTAGTCTATAACTGCTCCAGACTGGCAAATGATCTCCATAAGGTCTTCCAGTCCTACTGGGTAATGGGTCACTCCAACAGCTCCCTGCCTCACCCCTGGCCTGCGAAGTTTGACACTGACATCAACAAACAGCACCCCCTGCTGGTGGAAGAGGATCAAACCACCAGCAGCCTCTACATGGCTGTGAGCTTTACTTCCTTTAGTTCAGGGTGCTTTCATTCCCATGACCAAAGAGTTGTTGTTGCTGAGAGTTTCTGATCCTGAAGTGAAAGTGTTCTGGTTTCATTCACCTTAACCACGAAGCAGAGTCAAATGTGCTTTTTGTTTTCCGACGTGTTCCTTCTCAGGGCTCTCCACCATCGTTCTGCCCTCAATCGAGGACTCAGGACCTGGAGGCGATTCTCTCCTCCATCTCAGAGGCTGATGAGTTTATAGACATTGCCGTCATGGAGTATTTTCCCGCCACGTGCTTTGAAAAGCCTCGCAAGTGAGCCTAAAAATAACTCAAAGCAACTGTTGTCTATTTGCCGTTTTGTTTGATGTCCTCACGCTGGAGTGCTTACAGATACTGGCCGATCATAGACGATGCACTCAGGACGTCTGCTTTTGAAAGAAAGGTTAAGATCAGGATGCTAATCAGCTGTGGGCAGAGCTCAGACCCAGCCATGCTGCCTTTTCTCCAATCTCTGGCTTCAATGAATTACCCTGAACATCATATAAGCATCCAAATTGTAAGACTTGAAAAAAAATGCTGATTTACTGTTAAATAAAACTTTCTTACAATTCATTTCCCTTTTTTATTGTAGAAACTGTACATTATCCCAGTGGGAAATCAGACTGAAGTTCCATTTACCCGAATCAATCATAATAAATATATGGTGACTGACAAAACTGCATACATCGGTGAGTTAAACTGGTGGTTCCCAACCCTGGTCCTTGAGGAACACCGTCCTGCATGTTTTAGTTGTTTTTCTGCTCCAAGACACCTGACTGAGTGGTTTAATTACTTCCATTAGTTCGGCAGAAGCCTGTTAATCACCCTTTTATTCAAATGGGGTGTTGGAGCAGGGAAACGACTAAAACATGCAATATGGTGTTCCTCAGGAAGCAGGCTGATTTAAACTAATGTGACTTTATTGTTCATACAGGGTTTGTAAGTAAGCTAAGTTAATCACTGACCACATAACTGTTTTGCAACCCAGGTACGTCCAACTGGGCAGGAGACTACTTTTTGACCACAGCTGGCGTGAGTCTGGTGGTTTCACAGCCCACTTCTCACTCTACATGGAACACCAAGACCCTGCGAAGCCAGCTGAAGGAAACATTTAACAGAGACTGGCACTCAGAATACACTGTGCACCTGAACGAAACCCGACCCAACCCAGATTGTGCACTATTAAGATGACTTGAGCTCTTGTAAAAGTGTTTTTATATAATGTATTTATTCTTCACAGTTGTGTTAAAGTGCATGCTTTTATGTGACTGTCAGGATTAGCAGTTGGTGTTTTTTTTATTATTATTAATAATGCTTTAGATAAAAGCTTTATACATTTCTAATGACAAAGATTTTCTGTGTTAGCAATATTTTTCAAGACATGATGGTTTCTCAGTATTAGCGTTATGTAAATATATAATGTGTCTTGTTACCTGGTAAGATCTCTGGAGGAAAAAAAGATGGAGCTTCATGTGAGACTGAGCTCTAAGTGCAGCAGTAATTGTTATAATTCAGAAAATGTTGAGATTTGATCCTGGTGCTTCATTAGTGAAGATGGATGGTGTAGGGGGGAAAAAAAACCATCCCAAAAGAGCTTAATTAGGCCTGCATGACTTTTTTTTTAGATTGTAGCCTTTGTGAATAGCCACATATTGTTTTATTTTAGCACTGACTTCAAACAGAAATTCTTTATGTACTCCATTCTCTTTTAATGTTGACTTTATTCTCTGAATAAAAACGCAAAATAAAGCCTCGTTTCATTTTCAAGGTTGAAGCCTGGGACAGTATCAGATTCTTATTCTATTAATATTTTTATTATGGCTTAAAGAGCAAAGTGCCCTCAGCAAACCATGTATGAGATAAATTAATAATGCTTCTCTTTTAAAATATTTTTTTATGTCTTTGACAATATTAAGGTTTCTTTGTTATTCGCACCACATGCGGTACATGTGGTGGAACAAAATTGTGTACATAATATAGCATCAAAATAAACATTTTGATTTAAAAAAAAATAACTGCCCGCTGGATTTACATTACAATTTTTGGGGAAACAAACAATATGGGTGTAGCTCTCTTTAAAAGTAGGAACTGCCAGCCTTAATACTCTGAAATATGATGTAGATTTCATAGTGAAAAAAACTTGTATGTAGTTCCCCTCCCTGCCGGCAGGTAGCAGTAAAAAAAACCTTGTATGTAGTTCCCCTCCCTGCCGGCAGGTGGCAGTGTGATAACGCGCGACCTGTCCGTCAAAGCGCAGGGCGGAGCTCCAGCTTGTTGTACGTGTGCTTCTCTGCAGTGAGTTGAAGCTACAGCAGCAGTGTGTATAGATAGAAACCATGGTGTTGCTCGAAAATGATTCGGTATGTATATAACATTTTACACTTGAACACTTTAAAAATCGGTTATAATTAGTAGGAATTATCACATAACATTAAAGGTTGTTTACGTCTTCCGTTTATAGTGTTGACGCCAGATATGCTACCAATAATAGCTAGCATGCTAACGATTGATTTACCGGTGTAAGCTAATTCTGGTTAGTAGTTCATCGAGTCAGATTTACTTCTCTAGCACAGTACAAACCTTTAGCTAAGGCTTTAAAAAATGTTTTCTCATAATCACTAAAAAATTAAACCGTCTATCAGCAAATAGAAAGGGAGGTTTACTCTCAACTAAACATGAGTTTTTGTTCCTTTTTTGGTTTATTGTACAAATCATCCAAGCTGCAAAGTGTTGATTTGGAAACAAACACTCGGTTAAATTATTTAACATAGTTCCTCATGGTTTGTTTTTGTCCTAAAGCTTTTGTAGGCATGTGTGTAGTTTTTAAACCATATGTTTAAATTTGATCGTATTTGCTCGCCAGTACACGTCTGTGTTAAAAGGTCACATTTTACAAAATATAATTCAGGGGATGATTTAAAGTATATCTTTTCCTATATATAACTGCTTTTTAAATTGTTAGGTTTCAGCATTGCTAAAGTTCTGTTTCACTTTAAAAATGACCTCGTGTTTTAACTTGAACAGGCTGTAATCAGGATTTATAGAAGACAAAATTATTTGTGATGAGAACAAACATTTAATTAGGATTTACTCAATTTAAACAGTGTTCCCCATGTAAAACAAAGTTATCAGCCGATGTGTGCTTTCATTATTTAAAATAGCCAGCTTTTAAGTCTTAAAAATATTTATCTGTTGGCCATTAAAGCAGTAACATTTACCCGTCCTCTCTCCTTGTTCAGTTTCTCACAGAGCTCACTCGACTCTTCCAGAGGTGCAGAACATCAGGCAGTGTTGTCATCACGCTAAAGAAGTGTAAGTAATGGAGTGTGACTTGAATCACAAAGCAGAGCTGCCTTATTGTCTCTGATTTCTGAGTTGTAATATGACTTTTTTTTCCCACCAATTTTCCAGATGATGGTAGAACAAAACCAGTACCGAGGAAGGGCCACTCGGAGTCATTTGAACCGGCTGATAACAAATGTCTCGTCAGAGCTTCTGATGGCAAGAAGAAAATTAGCACAGTGGTAAGCCTGTTGATGTGCAATTATTTCATGTTCATGTTTTTACACAAAGCCAAATGATATGTTCTTGTCATTTCAGGTCAGCACCAAAGAAGTAATCAAGTTTCAAATGGTATGTTCAGATAATTTGTATTTTGTCATTATGTACAGCTACAGTTTGTTGTCTTGTCCACAACATTTCATTTCTTATCTTTAGTAAGTTAACAGTTTATAACAGATTATTTTTTGTCTTTGCAGGCGTATTCCAACCTCCTTAGAGCTCACATCGACGGCCTTAAGAAAAAGGATAAGAAAAGCAAAAGCAAGAAAACCAAAGCCACGCAGTGAGCTATAGACTCTTTAAGGTAACCATGGAGGCAGTCCAGTACAATGTGAGGGGACGGACGAGGGCAGCTTCTGACCCACAGCTCTCCTCTCGTTCATCAGAAGCCTCAGGGTCGTCCACCTGGTGACTGTGTTCATATTGTTTGCATGGTGACGTTTCATCCCTGGCTGCCCAGAGCCATCAGGTGGTCAGGAGCAGACAACATGAAGATATTTTTTGTTTTTTGTACAGTATAAAGCAAGCCTACTTTATTTTGTCGCCAAAATTTATGTTCAGAATGGCTGAGCTGCGTCTGGAGCCAAATCGAAGGAGTCCAGTGAAAACCAAACTTTTATTTTACTTGTTCGTCTGGTTGGCATATTAAAAAAAGATATTGGATTTTTGGAGGATTTATTCACTGTTAATCCCTGTATCTGATTTTGAATAGGGTAAAATACATTTTCTTTTTTCTTTATTTTATCTTTGCAGTATAGTGATGAACAGTTTTTTTTATTTACATGCCCAGACTAAGATGTCTTAAACACCAACTGGACAAATGAAGTTTTGTGGTTAATTTTTACATTTCCTTTTCTATAAAATGTGACTCTTGCTTAAAAATGTTAACAGTTGGAGACGTGCTCAAAGGAATGTCTTGAGTTCTGAATACAGAAAAAAAAGAAAATTACTCTAATAAGTCCCAGTCAGTGTATCATTCCTTTGTGCTCCTGAGCCCTGGCAGCATTGGACTGCAGCAGAATTAAGGTTCAGAAATAAATTGCTTTGTTCAAACCCACTGCTTGATTCTGGTCTGTTCGAACAAAAATGGTGAACAGGAACAAAGACATGATGTATACATGCACACGTTTCAGTCTGTGGTGGTTTAGAGATGGATGAGCTCATAGCGCTGTGTTTCTCTTGTCTAGTCTGTCCTTTGGAGACACGGCGAGGTTTCGCTGCCGGGCGCTCTCCTCCTGGTATCCCTGTGTCATCAGGCTGGTTACGTACTGGAACATGGTCTGGATCAGATAAATGAACACCGGATGTGAGTCAGAGCTCTCATCGGAGGAAATAAACTATAATTCAAGCATAAAAAACTGAATATCTTGTTCCTATTGAAAAGAAGAAAGCTGCTTTTGTTAAATGTGTTTTTGCTGGTGCCACTAGAGGGCAGTAGATCCAATTAGGATTAAAAGAAGGCTGCTAATTTCAAAGAATGACAGTTTCTATTCATGTTTGAACAAAAGGACCTGAAAAAGCATCTGTCACCTGAGCGTTAGTGGGATTTAAACTCGGATCTTGTTCAAGGTGCTCCTGCACAGTTCAGAGGTGGAAGTCAAGTCGACCTCATGAGATGTGTGCATCACTGAGACGTGAGGGGAGCACCCGTGGGATTTTCTTTAAACGTTGAAGGGAATAAACTGAACAAATGAATCTGACTCTTCACACAAGAAAGTTTAACCTTCACTTTCTTGGATTCTGCAAAGCTTGGAGACACTAGTTTCTGAATGGAGCCATAAATCTAATGGTAACCGTTTTTATCTAATTTGATGCTGTTTCATTAAATTATAATCCAGGTTCAGTGCAAAATGTAAAATAAAGATGGAGTCGACTTCTCCGCACTCTCCCGTAGATCAGAATTTCTATTAACCATTGAATCAATACAGGATTTACTCCGTTTTATAACATTTCTTCAAGAATTACATTTAAATAAATACGTGTATGGAAACAAATTTAAACCTGACAAAGATCCCATAATTCCTAATAACAAACAACTTCAAAATAATTGGTTTTAAAAGTAATGAGCATTTTGCAGAACAATCAAAGTGACGACAGGTGCACCTCAAAAACTGAATATCACGAAAAAGTTCAATTGTGTTTGTCATTTACAAATGACGTGAAAATTGACTTTAATTTGAAAAGACGTTGGACCACTGAGAGACAGTCCAGCTCTTTGTCTCCTCAGCAGGTAAGACACTTCTGACATCGTCTCTGGTTCAGGAGTGGCTGGACTTGAAGAACGTAGCTCATGTCTAGGAGTTCATCAGCTGGTCAGGGTGCGACACCAGGAGTTTACAGTATTGAACGTATTCACAATATTCTGAGATACTGAATTTTTATTTACTTTTTAAATTATTTGTAAGTTATAATCATCAAAATTACAAGAAATAAAGGCTTGAAATATTCCACTCTGTGTGTAATGACTGAATATGTAATGTATGAGTTTCACTTTCTGAAATGACAAAAAAGAACTTTTCATGATGTTCTAATTTTTCGAGATGCATTTGTGAGTTTGTTCATAATTTGAGCAACTAGTAACTTACAAACACGTATTAATATTAAAATCAAGATATACACAAACAATACGTCATTTAAGATATTTGTCATTAATTGGAGAGTTTAGGTTTTTGAAAATAGACAAATGGTTTAGATGTGTTAACCTTTCACTCATCACTTTTTATGCTTTTAACGTCTCTGATCAAAATTTTAATGATAAAACATTGTGATGTTCAGAGACAGTACGAGTCGTTCCCTTTAGACAAATTAAATTGAGCTATTTACCACATTTCCACCACTCTACTGCCTATTTTTGTGCATGTTGTTTAAAATTTCACTTTTTAAAAAAATAATAACCTTTTATTTTGAAATATTTCACCCTTTCATCTGAGTTTGAGCCTGAATAAATGTCTAACCGTGTGCAGATGTACCTTCCATGCCTCCTCCAGCTCAGCGGTCCACCTCTCCTTCAGGATGGGCTGCACAGCACAGATAAACTCTGCTCCCACGTACTGGAAAATAATCAAACTGAGTCATTTGGGTTGGTGAATAATCTATTTCTTAATAAATAAACTACATGTGGGTTTTTTTTTTTCTGGTTATCAGCCCTGTCGGGCTCTTACATTGTAGTATTTAGGTGAGGCCTTGTAATGATAATGGCTCTTTCCCAGCTCCACGGCCAGAGCTTCCAGTCTGTCCGGCTGATCCAGTCTGGCCACACTTTTCTCAATAAACGACATCACCCTGAAGGACGGGAGACCAACTCAGGATCAGTTTATTCAGATGGACTGATCCATCAGAAAACAGAACAAGAATAGTGGTTTTACTTTGAAAGGGCCTGATAATGCACGATGACAACAAGCAAACAAACAAAAAGTAACGATTTAAATTCAGTGAGCTCGTTGACCAGCTGACACTGATAGATGGATAAAGGCTCGATGTGCAGAAAAACATCAGCTCGTTCTTCCTGCAGCCGAGTGGTGTGCAACATTCAGCTTATAAAACGTTTTAATCTGCCACTTACGTCTTTTGAATCAATAATCATGAGGAGGTTTAATTTTCTACAGTCATTAAACGCAAGAAAAACTAATTTACTGTCACCTGCAAGACATGTGATTTTAATTTCAACGTGCACAAACAACAGAGATGGACGAAGATGTCTCCTGTGTCCAAAGTCTGTTCCTCTCAGATTATTGACCCCAAACAAAAACACACAAAAGAACTTAAAGAAACACGTTTTACTTCCATCTGTGTTAGCCTTTCCCACAGAGGATGCTGCTCCTGAACTGGATGAAACGTCTCGTTTGTTCAGGATTTTCATCCCTCTCTTGCTGACATCACTGCGTCGCACAATCCATCGTCTTGTTGTCCGTTGTTTGGCTCAACTTAAACAAGCTGCTATTGTACATTTTTCCTCCATCTTTTGATCAAAATGTTGAAAAATCCAAGCAGAATCTCTGAGCTCTTAACGGAGATACAGTACAAACTTTTTTAAACAACATAAAGGTTTTATTTGAAATATTTATGGCAAACTTTGGCCAAAATATCACAGAAAAAAAACTTAAAAGTCTCATTTTCAATACTAATACTATCAGGTTATGTTTAAAGTTGTGCAGCAGCAAGCACACATGCATGATGGACACTGATTATACCATTTAAACCACATTAGTATTTAAAAATATAAAGTTTTGATCAAAATTTTTTTTACTAACAATTTAGCGCACAAATTGTTACTTGAACAAATTCAAAATGGCTTCCACAGCTAATTAACCATAGTAAACACATAAAAATCTCTATAACTAAGACAATTTGACAGACACTGAGCTGAAACTTGTGGTAGTAGCTGAGAGTCATCCCTAGCACATGCTCCGAGTGTTTTCAAAAATATAAATATTTATTACACATTTAATTTTTTGTTTGAATTTTGGAGTTGGTATTGAGGGCATGTGGGCACCTAACTGTACAGAAAGATGTGAAAAGAGAAAACTTTCTAAAACGTCCTTTTGAAAGAGACGAGAAGTAAATTAGAGCCAAAAATCAAATAAAAAATAGGAAAATGGGAAATAATTAAATGTTTGCTGAGTAAAATGGAGTGCTATTTAGTGCAAACTGATCAAATAAATCCCTTTTTCGGTTGCAAAAAAAGACAAAAACCACTAAAGCACTGAGGCAGTGCATGAATTGTCCCTTCTGGGCTGCTGTAGTGCAACGTCTCAAAATGAGGACAAGGGAAAAAATGTCTTCCTTTGAAGGAATAACTTTTTTTTTTAATCCTCATTTTCCTGCTGTACTACAATAATGAACATATAAAAGTTACATATCTTTGTTTTCAGGATGTAACTTTGCTAATTTTTGGTATAAATTATATATTTTTTTGTCACAGAGTTATAAATCATCCAGTCATGCTCTTAAAACAGACCTGTTTATAACAAGTGTCAGCTGAATGACTTAACTGGATGTCAGTAAGCGTTTGTTCTCAGTGAGACAGCCCGTCTCAGCTGTGCTGTCATTAACTGCATCATTCATCCATTCATCCTTTCATCCATTCATCCTGGTTGTTGTGGTGCATCATCTGTGACTGACCGCAGGCCATGGGCCCTGAGCTCCCGGTTCGTCCTCAGCCTCTCCAGGTCCTCCACATCTCGGAACAGGAAGAAGACGTCCTTGCACTCGGGATGGGTCTCAAACAACCTGTTACCAAGACAACAGCAGCATCAGCAGCCATCGTGAGCCTCTGAGAGTCTCTTCTGCAGCAGCCCATCACAATCAAAACAAACCCCCCAACCAATGACCCCGGGAGCTTTAGGATTAGCATGTTAGCATGTAGTCCCACCGCGCTGATCCTGATGCTGCTGAGGACGAAAACAAATTTATTCTCATCAGAATTAGGATTCATTGCTTCACTGTCCAGACATTTGTTTCCTCTGTTCGTCACTTTTGATTGATTTCCAGCTGTAGCTGTGCAGAACGTCAGAGATTAGAGATGGACTCTGAAAACATGAAATCTGATCTAACAAAGTCATATTCTTAAATCTTAATTAGGCTGTGTCCCTGCTCCTTTAACCATGCCTCACATTATTGAATGTAAGATTTGTTTGAATTATTTCACCTCATGTATTGGTTCAAAACACGCACACCACCGGTGTCCGTCGTTGCTGGCTCTTACCCTGCGTGTGACCTCATTTAATCAACGCCAGCAGAAAATTGCTTGTTTTCTTCAAGCTGCTATCTTTATGTCTTTCATTTAACCTGCGCCGAACGAAACCTCCAGCCCAGCGTAATCTTGTTTTCTTCTCCCTAAACATTAATAATTTGTTTAAGGTCGGCTTTTCTGCGTGCAAATCTCATTTCCTGACTCCGGATTTCTAAAAGCTCGGTCCCAATCCTCAGCGTTTTAATGTCTTTTTCCAGAAACAGACTGAAAGATGAGCTGCAAATAAACAGCTGCCATTTCAAAACTTTGAGCTGAATCTTGTAATTTCTTGAACTGTGAGTGACAGAAGACATTGCGGGTCCTTCATGCAAACTTTTATGCTTCTTCAGTGCTTTATGTAGGGGATATAATAAGTTAAAAACACCTGTCACTTCCTGTTTTAAAAATAAAATTCAGTAGTCCCTCGTTTATTGCGGGGAATCCGTACCATGAAGCCCCGCGATAAGTGAAAAACCACAAAGTAGGAATAGTAGTAAATAGTAGTTCATATATAATATATATATATATATATATATATATATATATATATATATATATATACCATATTTTCTGTCGTAAACGTTGCTCCGCCCTATAAGTCGCATCAGTCCAATTATGTCTAATAAAGTGAAAGAATCCATAAATACGTCCCTTTGCCTTACACGTTGCATCTATAAGGCATCACGTTTGTCATGCATCACCGCTGACAACCCAGAAATGTGGGCCGGTGTTGTGCCAAAAAACGATAAATGGTGGCTGCGGGAGCGTGCAGACAGGGAGGAAAAAAGAAAGGAGGAACGCTGTGCATTTCTTCAAAATTTAACAAGATAAGCACCTAAAACAATTATTTGCGTCCTTGAAATTATAGTAAAGGTGTGTCTCAGTTGAACTTTTACTTAAAAAATGCACTTTAATGGTCAAATTAGCTGCATTTCGCCAGGGCAGCGCAGCGAAAAGAAGCTGATTTGACGGTTGCTCCAGGCGAGCTGGATAAAGGTGGCAGTGTATGGCAAGTGGATTGTGTCATTAATAGCTGGTGAAGATTCCAAGTCATCCAGGACATGGTCAATTCAAAAAAGTTCAGGACAAAAACAATAAAGTATAAATAATGTATAATAAACAAAGTCCAGTTGTTTTTGTCTTGAACTTTTTTGAATTTGTCATTATAGCCACTTTTACTTATTACATGACACAACGGCATGCCTCACTGCTACTACTACTCTGCTGCCATCAAGTGGCTGAAAATGGTACTGTTCAATATTTTCTGTCAGAATTAATGAAAACGATCATATCTTAGCCAAAAATTGGTTTATAAATATAGGAAAAAAAATCCATAAATACGTTGCTTCAACCTATAAGTCACAGGGCATGCAAATTATGCAAAAAACTGACTTATAGGGCAAAAAAATATGGTATATATAAAGGCGTTTTAAACCCTTCCCACACTCTTGTAATATTCTAAACAATGTTTCTAAACTCTAAACGCTCTAAAACAACATAGCATGTCATGACCTCAGCTATCTGCCACCTGCCAGTGCTTTTGGCCACGCCCACTTCTCTGCTGCAGAGCGGAGATATGACACGCTGCAGGTGGAAGCTTCTCCTGCAGCTGTGGGCTGCACACAGGTGCAGCAGGTGCTAAATAATTTAAAATAATTTATTTTAAATTTAAAAAATCCATGCCGATCATGCGGCTCATTCATCAATCAGCCAATTGTGTCTTACTTTGAAAAACTACGATAGAGCGATTCCGCCAAAAACGAACCGTGATGTAGTGAGGGACTACCGTAACAGAGGTCTGTGGAAGTCTTGCTGTGTGATCTGAGAGGATCAGAGAGAAAAGTGGAAGTCCGGCAGCAATGAGAGAGACACAGTGAAAGGAGACAAAAATTCTTACGTCATGAAATACCACAAAGTTGTGGGAGTGAGAAGAGTTTGCAAAAGTTTTTAAATTTTTAGACAATTCATAAAATGTTCCATCTTTGACATGTAAATTCCAATTTCTGCGACTTGTTTCAACTTTAAATGGTGTGTCTACGATGAAGTACGTCCTGGCTATAGAGCTCCAAAGAGGGTTGAGTTTTCTCATTAGATTTATTCCATTATTCTCCGTTCATTTTTATTTGAGCAGTTATATGTCTGTGGGAAAGTCTCCATGAATAAATGCATCAAATTTCCCCAACAACTGCTCCTGGACTGACACATCTGGAGGTTCTGGGGTGGGTTTTTTTTTTTAATAACAGAGAGGGAATGATGGCTCCTTTGAAGAAAAACACCAAACTCGTGCAGCTCTGAGTCCCTGATGGCATGCAGCGATCTATGGAAATACTAAATATTGATGCAGTCCTCTGATTGAAGAGAACAATAAGCATCTTTTACATTTATACTTCATGAAAAGCTTAATACAATAACTGTTTTATCTCTAATTGCTTTGCATTACTTTAGTATGTATCACAATGTAAACGATATATATATATATATGTATATATATAGCAAATGGGCCAATTTTTGAATTCAAGATGGATTAAATTACATAAACTGAACATAAAATGATCTGTTTTTTGCATGAGGTAAGTGTTTTTGCTGTGGAAGTGAATTTATTTGCCCCCACAGCCGTTCTTTACGGACTAAAAATAATAAAACCGTCTGGTTTCCGTGCAGCATGCAGAGCGCTCCTTATATTGTTTGTTCCTCTTGTGGACATGAGTGCTCTCAGAACATATGCAGACCATGCTGCACCCCCTCAAATAGCTGAAGTGGAATTTTAATTGGACTCCGCACAGAGGTTGCATTCAGTCTAATGATGGATTATCCAGAATCATTCTCTCCTTTTCAGTCTGAATATGTTTAAGAGTTGTCAGGTCAAAATGAAGGTGCTGATAAACTCAAGCTCCCAAAAGGTCACCTTGAACTGTCCCACATGTTTGAAGCTGTTTACTCCAGTAGTTTTCCAAATATATGGATGTGCAGTTCTGAACTGTGGGTACGCATCAAATGTAAACAAAGCACTTGACTGATTTGTCACCTATACCTGGCAACAAGCTAGTTTTATTTATGTGAAAGGTTCTAAAACTTGGTTTTGCACTGGTCTGGAGTGACGCCATCATGTTTTCCAGTTAAATAAAAGTGGAATCATCAAGCTTCACAATGATGCCAAATATTATACGAAGGGATTTCCCGGTGCTCCAATTGCCGGCAGAGACTGTCAATTTCAAAGAAGATTAGAAAAGTTACAAGACGATGGATAATCTCTGAAGACGTGTCTGTTAGAAAACTATTTAAAGATAGATTAGGAAGGTTATATTCTAATTTATTTAGATGTTGACTTTACAGAAACCTTTTTATGCAAATATTTATGACAAAAAAATTTTTTTTTTACTTATTTTGCACTGCAGCCGGTGCTCATTCTGATTCAGTTAGTAAAAACGGATGCTGGAATCAGACAAAGAAACTGGACGAAGACGTTTAAATAAAATAAATTGCAAAAAAGAAAGAACGAGTGACGCATATGAAAAGATTAAATATCAGGGATCAAGCAGGGAGTTGGAGCGCCAGAAAGGCCAAGCTCAGCATCCAAACACGCAGCTTTTATAAAACTTCTAGACGATGGCAACAAATTTCAGTCTGAAATGTCAGAAGAGAGGCACTCCATCACCAAACAAATGGGTGAATTTAGATAGTTTTAAAAACCTACCCGCACAGTTTACTTAATAGATCTGAGCATACATATGTAACGGTTTGTAATTTCTCCATTCCAAACAGCTCCTCCAGAGACGTTGCCATTGCTGGCCTGCTGTCAGTCACTTCGGCTGTTTCTGCAGGTAAACAAACCCACGTCATGGCAGCCGTACACAGATTTTATTTCTAACTTTATGAATTGTTTTTTTTGACCGGTTTTCACATCATTGCAGAAATTGGAGGAAATCGTAACAAATTGATGTTTTACTTGGATACACTTTAAGGTCAAGCAGGTCTTTCACTGACATACAAACTGCATGAATTATCTTAACAGAGACGAACACTTTGTCACGTTTTTCCTTTGTTTGCTTCATAAACTGAGCATTAAAGATGTTTTCCTGAGTGCCGGTTATCATCTTAACTGATAAAAATGAGTTTCCTGATGGCTGAGTCCTCTAATTGTATAATGACAGGACAGAGCAGGAGCTCAGTGTGTAATGATGTTAGGATGTGATGCAGGGTGAGGAGAGGGGGAGGAGGGAGAGGAAGAGGGGGTCTGCTCCCAGCCATCAGAGGAAAAGAGGCTGTGGGTCAGCAGACCCCTGAAGTCAGCAGGTCCACCCTGACTGTCTGGAAGGGCTCTCATAAAATCTATTAAATAAGAAGCATCCAGTTTTATTTTATCGATCTAATCCATACACTGTAAAAAAAAACCTGTAGTTTTTACAGGAAAACTCTGGCAGCTGTGGTTACCAGAGTTTTCCTGTAAAAATTACGGGTGCTAAGTAATTAAATCTACCGAGAAAATATGTAAATTAACTTACAGTGATTGAAATCACTGTTAATTAACATTATTAGTCTGTTAAGTCAACACAAATTAAATGTTAATTTTGCATAGTTGTGTTCTACATAAGACAACCCTTTCCTGTATTTCTTACCTCTATTAAATGTTTTTAGTACATCAATAACAGGCAAAATTAACTGGGAAATATCAAACAAAAAACTAATTTAAACTGTTAAAACCACAGTAAAATTTTGTATGTAAAATAAAAAGATATTTTGTGTATTTTGTTCATCGTTAATAATCAAATTATACGGTAAGAGTTACTTTTTAAACCCACTAATTGACTACCAGTACTACTACTGTCATTACAAAACATGCAAAATGTAACATCATGGAATGAGAGGTACGGTACATATCACTTTAAAAAATTTATTGTCACCATTTGTAAACAATTCAGCGTCAATATATTCTGTGACTCGGATTTAATCCACAATCAAAAACTGCAGAAGATTAGCCTCTTTTAGTCAGGACAGTTTTCAATTAACAAAATTTTCCAAGTGCCAGGCTGAAAAGAAATTAAATGTAAAAGTTTACATTTTTAGCAGTTGTCTTCAAAAAATGTGGAAATGTGGAAGTTTAGGCAAAAATGTGCAGTACGTCAACAGTCCACAAAGCAAAAACTTGTAGTACCTTTTCTCCAACAGAACAGTCCAAAAACAAAACCTTGCAGTGTTCTACAATGAACAGTCCACAGAGCAGAAACTTCAAATAATTTTTCCTACTAACAGTCCACAAAACAAAAACTTGCAGTACCTCTTCATTGAACAGTTAAGAGTCCACAGAGAGAGTCCTTATTTAGGTGTCACACCACTCGTGATCGGTGATTTCCTGTATCAGGGTGAGGACTCGGGGGTTCAGGTTGAGACGACGCTTTGAGTTTTTGTTCTCCACTTTGGTTCCCTTTTCTGGATTTATCCGAAAAAAACACCTGTTAAAAGAAAAGACGACCATTATAATTATTTTGAAGTTTCAGTAAAGTAAAATACATACTGTTTTATAGTATTACAAATTGAAAGCAAGCCATATTTATTTACCTTTGAAGAAATTCCAGAGTTGAAGCCAGCTCAGACGGATAATGGATGTTGAAACAGTAATAGCTCCCGAACATCAGGCACAACGCAGAAATGAAGGAGGGGATGTTTGTGTTGGTAAGGGTCCGGTCCAGACTCAGCATGTACCTTGTTGAGGAATAGCATGACTGTCCTATAAAAAAAAAAAAAAAAATCATTGAGCAGGGTATATATTATTAGGTCCTATACTCACATGATAAAATCCATTAGTAGTACAACGTAATAAATTAGATATGAAGCAGACTTACCACAGACAATGATGGCTGGCGTTACAGCCACTTGCTCCAGTTGCACATCTTCTGCCAGACTTGTTTCATCTACATAGAAGAACATGGACTCCTCCTTCTCATCAAAGTAGTTGAGGAGAAGCAGGACCATCTCTTTCACATCCTCTGAGCAGCCACTCTGCTGTCTCCGCAGCCTCTGAAGTCTTGCATAAGTCTGAAGGAACTTCTTATTCTTCTTGACACAAACAGTGGTCAGGTAGTTGAGGAGCCTTTTTCCCTTCAGATCCAAGTTGCGTATGAAGGTGTCCTTGAGGTTGATCCCAGTGAGTTCCTTGAAGTGGATCGACATGCCAATTTCATCAAACAAAAATGGCCACTCCTCTCTGAGGCACTTGATACTTTTACCCTGGTTGACATGTTGGCGCTGCGTGTAAAAGGTGGACTGCATAAAGCATTTCACCTCCTCTGGATTGGCATCAGACTGTTGAAACATCACCTTGAGTTTTTCCATCTTTTGCTGCTGGCTTTCTTGAGTTTCTTCACGAGGCAGGAATTGTACATTCCACTTAATGCATCCATAAGTGTCCTGCATTGCTGCTCTCTCTTCTAATGGGATCTCATCTGTGTCATCTGAATTACTCTGTTTTCTTTTTCTCATTTTGGGTGTTGAAGTGCGCCGCACATTTTCAATTCTGTTTTGCAACTGTTTGACAAGGGAATGGTAGCCTGTGCCTACAATGTCTCCATCTATAACATCTTGCAAAGATTTTGGATACTTGGCCACCATTTTCTTTGCGACATCAGTTGAATGCTTTTTACCTACGAGAGGGCATTTTTCCATCATCTCAGTCACAACAAGCCGGACCATCTGTCTCCTGAGTTTTGGGCCTGGTCTTTTCCCCCTCTCCAAAGATTGCATCAGTTCTTCTTGAAATTTAGTCCATGGAATTTCAAAATTGTCCTCCCAGTGTGAGTCAAGCTGTGGGCTGCTGGATGAGGTAGATGCTGAACTTTGGGGTGAAACTGAGAGCAATGACAGCGATTGGGCAGGTGAAGCTTCAACAGACGAAAGAGAGCTGTTTTCAGGGGTCTGGTCTGTAAATTACAGAAGACAAAGAAAAGGTTTACAATGTACAATATAAGAAGATGTCTATGCCTGTTTAGAACATGGTGCATGGGATGCAAAGTGTAAAATAATATGTTTAAACATTTCACTAACACATTTTTCATTACTTAGATCACATTCTGAGTGTTAAAAATTTCTACTAACATTTTATTGTTATTTAACTCACTGCAATATGTTACATTTAAATTTTAAGAAATACATGTAAATATTAATGTCGTCATCATTTTGAGACATTAGCAACTGCTAGCCTTCCAATGCAGCTAAAGCTTCTGTACAAGACATTGTCTCAGAACGATGATGTCATATCATGAGTCCAGCACCAACAGCAAAAGCTGCTTTCCTTTCCAAAATACCTAAATGTGAAATTCAACATTTAACTTTCACAATAAGATTTACACAATTCAATTTAGAATTAGTTATTTTTTTTAAACATTTAAATTAGCTATGTCAGAACAGTGAGCTAAATAACAGTTAAACGTTAGTAGAAAATTTGTAACACCCAGAATGTGAGCTCAATAATAGAAAAATATTAGTGAGAAGTTTTAACTTTTGTGTACACTGACCTGCCCTCTCCAATATGGTCATTTAAGTGAGACACTAGCTCTTTCACCGTGAGAAAATGGCGGGCACATAATGCAACCGCGCATTTTAAATCGGCAACAATGGCTGTAGCTTGTGGCGCAGGTGCATTATGTACACGATAAAAATGGCCCTTGAAAGCAGAGTAAGATGTAAATGTTTGACTACAGTTAGCGCCAACACACTTGAAAAAACAACGAGGCTCATTCCTATGCACTTTGCAATGTAGCACATACCCTCTTAATGTGTCCAGTTTCTTTGTGCAAAAGACGCAGGAGATCATTTTTAGAAAATTTGGTGTGTGACTTTTAGTTAAACTAAACTATCACACATTGGTGTAGCAGTCTTAAAAGCTAACGGCACTAGCTTACAACAACATGCGCTTACACTAGCTTACAACAACAGTTCAGCAGACATTTCCGGTAGGAAAAAAGTAAATGTAAAGCTTACCGTGGAAATGTTATTTTCTCTGAATGAACAGCCAAAGACTCAAAAACAAGGTGTAAAAAGTGTCGATAAAACTTGTGAAACAGTTAGAAAATGTCTTCTCCGCTCCTCCACAGACGGCAACTCTGGCTCGTTATGACGTCAGCTGCGGCAGTGAACTTGAGGCTCGTGTTCCTCCGCCCTCAGTGGATCATCCAATAAAAACGAGCGTCAGTTGCGCACTTTCAAATTCAAATTTATATTACTCCTTAAATGTAAAGTTTTAAAATGAAACGAAGATCAATCTTTTTACCATATTCACTTAGTAGTCCCGAGGTCACATGACTTACAACACGTAACATTTTTTTCTAGCTTCAAAAAGTATACAAATCACTAAATATCTGACCCGCATCTGCACACAATATTAAAGTGTAAAATGAAATTTTTATCACGATCAAAGGTAAAACGGAGTACTAGCTGAAGTGGTGTTGCCATGGAAACATGTAAAAAAAAAACTCGCTATTTTCAGCAGGACGATGAACAATATTCATAAACTGTGGATGAACATCAAATATAGATTAGTTTTAGTCAGTCTAAAAATTGTTTAGACCCATGTTAAAACTATATTTATTTTGGCTTGGATTGATACGTTTTTGTAGTCACAGAATAATATCACTGCAGTAACAATTTAAAGTTCTTAAATGCATTTTAACAGGTTGGCCTTGAAAACAGTTTCAATAAATACCTCCACTAAATCAAACAAAAATATTTATAGATTTATGGTCGTGTATCTCAATATAAATAAAATTCAAGCTATTGAAATTATCAAACAGGACTAACTTTTCCTTCCGGTCACAGATCCCTTCAAAATAAGAAATATTAGATCTCATTATAATTTTCTCATATCACAAAGTTCAAAATTATCGTAGTTGAAAGCTTTCAGCATGAGTCGAACTCAGGTCTCGTGTTCTAGGCAAACTTATTTTTGTCATTATTATTTCATCAATCATGTTAAAAGTACAGCATAAAGTTGTAAAGTGATTTACCTTTGTATTTTGTATTTTCAAAAACAACTGATAAAAACTTTAGTTTTTCCAGCATTTAAATGTCATTTTAACAAAATTGCTTTGTTATGGTCATTACAATATTTTTTTGTGTTTTTTACCACCATTTGTAGTTTTAACAAATACATTTGATTATTTGCACATGTTTTTGTTGTACAAACAACATAAAAAGATTGTTTGACAGTTCACAAAGGTTAACTGTGAATTAAACAAAACATTTATGCTTTCTGATTTACAGTATTTTTATGTTGTGATTTTACATAGTTTCTACGTAAATTCTACTGACATTTCTTACAGTGTAACTTTAGTGCAACATCCCCAACACATCTTGTTTGAAATTTATAAGAAGTTGCAGGTTTTAAAGGCTTTTAATCGGATCTTATCAAAAAAATTAAACTTGTTTCTCATTTGTTGCCACAATGAGTTTACCTGCAACCAGGAAGAGAAAAAAAAACCTTACCTGACAAACATGATAATCCCAACTTTGGCGATATCATCCCGGATAACTTTCCAGGAGTCTCTAATCATCTGGATGTGCTCCTGGCTGGGATGCGCAGCAGCATCCGCTCCTTCCTTCTGTGCAAACTCACATTTTGTGGCCAGACCTGAAACTGCGCAGCCCATTCTTCATCTAAAACCAAAAAAAAAAAAAAAAAAGACTGCTTTGATCTAAATAAAAAAAACAAGACAAGAGAAAAACAAGGTGAGCTCTTTGGGCTTTGAGGAAATGAGCGGCCGCCGGCGGGGCAGCTGCTTCGAGCGTCTCGGTTTCTCTCTCCTTCCTATGGCGCAAAATCACGGATCTGAGAAGTCTGTGAATTTAACAGAGGCTCGGAAATAAAACGAAGACCGCGAAGATGGCTGCAGAAGTCACGAGCAACTGGGGCTTTTAATTTGAAGTCGTCCTGCTCGTTTCCGGTGCTGATCCATGTGATGGACGCAGCTTTTCAAATTAAAAAGGGTAAAACTTTCAAAGTGTCCAATAATAATAATAATAATCATTAAATTCCTTAAAGGAATGCATTTCACTCACCTCTTTTTAATTCAGAGATTTAAACTAAGATCCTTTTATGATAAAGTCTGAGAATTTCACTAAAATCTGTTCTGCTTATGAGATATTTTGCTAACAAACAATAAGGTTAATGCCAAGGTTTTAGGCAAAGTAGAGCTCAGTGTGTGTTGGAGATTACTCTCAGCTACCACACAAAGCTTTAGCTCAGTTTCTGTCAAATTGTCATCTTGAACTGAATTGATTCATTTATTAATTTCTATAATTTTATTAAAATCCAATCAATGGTTCATGAGAAATTATGCTAACAGACAGGCAGGGGTAATGCCAATACTGAAGGCAAAGTCTTAAAAAACAGCTCTCTTGCTTTCAGAACATGAGTATCACTCTCAGCTATAATCAGTGTTGTATAAAATACCTCAGATACTTCAGTACTTACAAGTATCTTACCATAAATTACTTTGTTAGTCACCTTTAAAATTATTACTCGAGTAAAAGTCGTAAAGTATCTGACATTGAATGTACTTAAGTATAAAAAGTAAATTTCTCATAGAAAACGTACTTTAAGAGTAAGTAAAAGTAAATGGTTAGAATTTCTAAAACAATATTTATTGGGTGCAATATCCAAAGACAAAAAATTGGAAAGTTTGAACTGAACAATGAAAGATTGCTCTTTAAAAAGTTTGATTCTAATGAAGTATATTCATTCAACCTTTATTAATATTAACAAAGCTGTTAGAAAGTCCACATTGTTGTGCAGTTGGTTTACTGAGCTCAGTTCTGTTTGGTTATGGCTTGTTTATTTCTGAACTTGGTGAGAATCTATCTATCTATCTACTTTTGTAAGAATCGATCTATCGATCGATCGATATGAATGTAATAGTTGAATGCACCGTGGCTGTTCCTGAGCTTGTGAACGCACCGCTCTGTGTAAAGTGCAGAGCTCAGTTGGAGGTTTTTTTTTTTCCATTCTCTCCTGACACGGACACAGCCTTGTTGTTCAAGCTTGTTTGTTCATTACTGGTTTACTGCTGTGTGTAAATACTAGAAGAAACACAGCAAATAAATCACCCTAAACTGGATATCTGTCTGTGTTCTTTAATAGGAAGACAGGGGGCCCGAAAAGTTCATTGTCATGATTGGGTGGTGGTTGAGACCCAAATGCAAGCAGGACTCCAACGGTGTCACAAAAACGTGTTTAATTTACAAAACGGCAATAACAAACATAAAGTGCTGACAGGGCAGCGATACTACTCACAACTCGAGGGAATACTCAGGAAACCATGAAACTAGGAGCCGACCATGAAGGTGTAGGAGACGCTTAATGCTCCTCTGCCTGAGATGCAGCAGAGTTCAGTATAAAAAGGTGAGTCACTAATTAAACCCAATACGCAGCACCTGAGAGTCATTAACTATCTGCATAGAGCTGGAGAGGTGTAGCTCCCTACATTCATACCGCTTTTTTTTTCCATTTATCCTTTATTTATACAGGTAACTCATTTCCAAGAGACCTGTTTTTGGGAGCAGATGGTGGGGGTTAAAGGCCTTGCTCAGGGGCCCAGAGTGGGGCAAACGAGGGTGGAGGCAGGTGTGAGTGATTCGCCTATCCCACCCACTTGCTGCTCTAACCAGTTAATGTCCTGGAGAACACTAAACCTCTCCTTTGTAGCAGCTACCGTCATTTTCACACCCATCAGGAATTTACAGTGACTCCACTGTGAGTCAACAAAGACCTGATGTAACGATTGATATCTGCATGTGCATCTAGCTTCTTCACAGCGGGCACCGCAGTTTTCACACAAGCAGCGGGTGAGGGACTGGGTTTGTGAGTGAGTGTCAGTGAGGGAGAGGGAAGTGGCCGCGTGAAGTCACATTCCTAATCAGATTTCTTCTAATTTTATATTGTAGGAACAAATAACTAAGAGGGTTAAGGGAAATGTATCGGAGTAAAAGTACATTTTATTAAGGAAATGTAGTGGAGTAAAAGCAAAAGTTGTTAGAAATGTAAATAAAGTAAAGATACGTTAAAATTCTACTCTATTCTGTGTCAAGTTAGTTTGCCATGGCAGCCATCTTGAATTGAATAGTCTCTGAAAGTTAATCAGTTGATGTATAACAATTACTTCCTGAAAGTTTCATTAAAAGTCATGCACTGGTTCATGGGATATTGTGCTAACAGACAAACGCGGGCATAAACATCATCGCCATTGGCAGTGGACGCTTTTCGTTCTCTTTAATGTCAAATTTAGGTCAGTATCTCTAATGCTGGTTACAAAAATTGCGGCGTCGAATCTCCAAATTTTCATAAAACTATAAAGGAAACATTTTTTTACTCGCGTCAGAAACACTAAAAGGAGAATATTAGGACGATATTTTGGGGACTTATCAGATCTTGGCACAGTTATGAGCAGACAGCAGCTCATATAAGCTGGAAAATGAAAACGATCTTTAGTTTTGAGTTTATAACCCACGACTGCTGGCGAGATTAAATGAAACATTTGGCAGGAAATGTTCAAGACGGTTTGCCAGACTTCAAACAAAGACGAGTTAGTCTGGGGAAGAATTATCCTAATTTTCCCAATTTCATCATCAAAAGTATGAAAACACAAGCCTCATGCATTGTAGAAAGTTCTGAAGAGCAATGAAAAAAAAAAAGCATTCATACAAAATCTCAGTCTGACAGTTCATGTTTGCATTTTTTATTGAAAATATGGGAAGATGCACATATGAAACAAACATTTTGCAACTAAAATATATCAAAAGAGTTGCTGAGTCCAGCATTTACACAACCCAGATGTACAAGTATTATAAATAATCTTTTTAGAAAATATACAGCTTGCTGATAAAAAAATAAAGCTCCAGTGACGTGCAACTGTTTTCCAAGCAGCTAAAATAGAAGAAGTGGAAGCATCTTTGTTGTCCTGGTGCATCAAAACCATCTTTGGTGTCTCGGCAGCAACGTGCTCTGAAATTAGCCCTGAAACCCTCAAAGAGTTATTGATAACAGTTCTACTGGGACTGTGTGGATAAAGCAGTCAACAGATTGATGTGTTGACACGAGGCACTTTTTTAAAGAACATCTTCCTTTAAATCTTACAAGAACATCCCTTTTTATGTTACATCACTACCCACCATCTCCTGTATGGACAGCTCCATGCAGACAGTAATTTTATTTCATTTTATTTTTTATTTTTAGGGGAAACAATTGCAGAACAAACCGATAATCATCAGTGAAACACTTGATGTTCCCTTTCAATGCTCCTGATATCAAAACAGACACTCGTCAGCTTGTGCTTAAACTCTGGAACTTCTCTCGTAAACTTTTCACACAGAAACTTTCCGAGGACTTCCCTGAGCTGTTCAGACCGTCCTGGAAGGGACCGTCCTCACTTTGGACTCGGCAAACAGGAGCGTGGGCTCGCGCAGGTTCCTGAAGGTTCTGCACTTCGTGGAGGGGCAGGGACCCGAGGTCCACGGAGCTCCACCTGCAGAGCAGAGAGCGCGTCTGGCGCTGAGGCCAGTCCTCCACCACGAGACGCTGCCCCCCGTGTGGACTCTGTGACTGCTGTCTGCAGCCGTCTGTCTGGGCGCTGTGGAGCTCCGAGGAGCTGCTGTACTTCTGAGAGCAGCCATCATACCTGGACCTGCAGAGCCGGTGTGGGACGACGCAAACACAGGTGGGTTTGTCCGCATATTTGGAGCGCAGTTCCTGAACGTCCGGCCAGAGGAAGGCCTCAGACAGAGGACTCTGTGGGGACGTTACTGTGCTGTGGGAGCTGGCTGTGGAGCTGGGGGTCTGGACTGGACTCGAAGGACGCACTTCCTGAACGGCTTCACGTTCACAAGCACTCAAGGCCAATCTCAGTTTGGGTTTACCTACATACAACCACAAAACAGCAGGTTTAGATTAAATTTTTTATTTTTACAAGAGAAATAGCAACAGACTGCTGCAAAATAAATAAACATGTCTATCAGTTGGAACAGGGGTCACCAACACGGTGTCCACGGCCACCTGCAGGAACGTCTGCGGGGCATTATCTAAAAATAGCACTCATAAAAAAAAGTTTATATATTAAGTATAAGTTTATATATATATATTTCATAAAATAACAAGCTCCTGTCTTCTGAACAGACAGAAGGCTCTAATCACCATTTGTCAATAATGATTTATCATGTCTGCCATTATAAATTATTAATGATAATTGTTCGTAGTCCTTAAGATTTAGAAATATTCACATATGTATGTTTATTATTAATTATACTACAGTTAAACAAGGAGCCCTTCCTGGTACCCAGTTCCTCTGAAGTAGCTCCCAGACTCAGAATGGTTGGTGACCCCTGATTTAGAACCCTGTTTACCTGGTTTTCTGGTCTTCTCCTCGGGGACAGTTGGGATGTTCCTGCGGCCTTCCTGACTGGCTGTTAGTCGGCTTCTCTGCCAGACCATGGGCCGATTGTTTTTGATGCGCTGGCTGTACTGACGGGCCAGCTGGAACACCTTGTTTTTCACCTTTCCCATGTCTTGTAAGATCTGGTCTTCGTTGATGCTGGTTCTGAAGTTAATGACCTTGGGTAAATATTCGGGGCTGAAACGACGGTCGTCCTGTGACTCATGGGTCCTGCATGGGTTAGAGTCCTGACCCGCCCCGCCCTCCACCGCTGAGGAACTTGTGCTCAGCGATGACGTTGAGGACATGTCAGAGGGGTTCACTTCAGACTCTTCTAAAATCAGAGGTGACTGCCTGCTGGTTTTAACGTCTGAAGTCTCTGAGCTGATGTTCTGAGGAACTTCTAATCTTGACTCATTAAGTTTCTCTTCTGCAGCCTGCTGGACTTCCCTGCTCTCTTCTTCAGTTTCCAAAACTTCCCAGACTTTGAGCATTTCAGACGAAGGCCTCAACTTCTCTTTCGCTTTAAACGCAGCACCAGCACCAGCCTTAAATTGGAAGGAGCTCTGTGGAGCAGTTTTACGGTTCTTTTCTAACCCAGGAAGGTCAAACACAGACCAAGACGTTGGTCTGTTTTGAGGGAGTCCTTTCTGGTGGACGGGGTCGACCTTCTCTGAAGGAACGCTGCTCAGCTGTCGACTCAGCTGTCTCACCAAACCAGCTGGAATATAGGACAGACTTTCGCGGCGCTTGATGCTGAAGTCAGCGTCTTGGTGCTCGGCGCGCTCGTAGTATTGTCTGATTTTGTGGATGAGGATGTGATCTTTTTTGGAGAGAGTGGACCTGTGTTCTTCTTTACTCAGATTAGGCACAGGATCCAACAGATCATCATCTGAGGTCGCCTGTGGCTTCAATAAAGAGTTAGCCATCGTCTGGGTCCGTCTCTCCACATCCATGCAGGCTGAGGGGGTTTGAAAGATGTCATCTACAGGTGGTGAAGGTCTATTGAGGGAACTAATATCCTCAGAAACTGGACTGCTCCGCCGGGGCAGGCTGCTGATGAAGTGCTCCGCTATCACGCTAGCCTGGTCCAACGCAGAAGGTGGCAGGATGCTTTTATTTTTGGAAAACAGCTCTTCGTCCTCCTCTGAGAGCTCACTATTGGTCAGAGCACTCGTCTCTTGGACGTGGAGGCCAGAAGAATCGCTCCCTCCCTCTTCAGTTTCTCTGGTGGTATCCAGAGAGTCTGAGGTCCCAGTTTCTTGCATGAATGGAGCCACTGGAGACTCAGGACGTTGGGAGTAGCTCACCTCCTGCTGGTGACCTTTCTCTGCTCGTGGGACAGAGTCTGGGTGGCACAGCTCCTGCACATTGACCTAAAACATGAGAAGAGTGTTTGCAAAGTGGAATATGATGAGAAAAGACATTTTATTAACCAGCACTCTGAGCCCCATTAGCTTAATGGTCCCATTTGAAGCAATCTTGACAATTACGTCTGATGCATCCAGTTTATGCTGCATTTGTTTTATCTTATTAGATACTCTCTTATTTTTTTAATTGCTGTGACCGTTGCTGGTGTGTAGCAGTTAAATTTAGTTGAAAAAACAACGATGCCCTCTCCAGTCGGCTTTTACGGAACCATCTTTGTTATTCTTGGTGAGTTCGGTTTGTCGGCGTTCATCTTGCTGATGTCACCCTGGCCTGGCATTAATGTAAATTTGTGCTGAGGTGTTGCCTGCTGGTCTGGAGAGCCTGCGAATTGAAATAAGTGCAGCTTGGAGCTGTTTGGTGTAGATAAGGTTAGGGACGGTAAATACCTACTCAGCTCAGATGTAGACGCCGACTGTAGCTGGCCTCCAAAACAAATGGTGCCTTTCTAAGAAGCAGAGGTGCAGACTACTGGACAAGATGTAGATGGTGCTTTAATTCCATGACTACAAATGTTCAACATGCAGGCAGGATTCAGGCTAATGTGATCACGGTAAAGGGCATCCATTTGGTAGGAATTCGATTTTATATATACAATGTACTGACTCAGGTGGCTCTCATTCAGGGAGAGAATAGGAAAAAATGTGAAAGAGTTTCCTTTAAATTATACAGCAGCTTCAAAATAGGCTTGGAAACAACTGGGAGGATAGAGGTGCATTAGTTAATAATGTGAATGTGTCTCACAAGTGGAAATAATGTGTGTATGAACAATAAATCGGGCGTTTATAAGTACCTGTGTGCCGAGAGGCTCTTTCATAACCACGTCCCTTTTGTTTTCCTCCTGTTGGTGGGTTTTCACCTCCTCCGTTGGTGCAGTTTTTAACTCAGAAGTGTTGCTTTCCTGATCATCCTGAACAGGTAAAACATTTCATTAAACTGAAAGCATTTATTGTCGACACGTATCATAAAATATACTACATTAAACAAATGCTCAGTGTATTTAAAATAGGCCTGTCACAATAACAAATTTTGCAGGGCGATTAATTGTCTCAGAAATTATTGCGATAAACGATAATATTGTTTGAAATTGGACAATAATTAGTAATTATTGTCAAATTTAAGAAGAAATATTGGTACATTTTTGACCACCAGATGGCAGTATAAGACTGTTTGAACTGAAGGATGGATAGTGAGGGAGCGAGCAGTGTGTCTCTAAGAAAAATGGGAGGGAGGCCCCTTGATGTGACATGGGCTGTCTTTCCTTCCTTTATTAGGTTTTCAAAATAGAGGACGCTCGGTGTGGTTTGAGCTCTTTAGCATAGCATTTTTCACATAAAGCTTTTAATTAAATAAAAAAAAAATCAGTAAACAAGTTCTCAGATTCTTTTTGCAGAGAAAAACAACTTTTTACACAAAGGCACAGGTTTCAACTGTGAATTTTGGAGCTTCGACAAGACGGAGGGTTTTTCTCCGAGGTCGGCCTGTTAGCTTAGCTTCTCAGCTTAGCTGCTTTTAACGATCCAAAAATGCGATTTTAGACAGTTAAAATAGATTTTAAAGAGAAAAGAGAAAGGGAGGGGTCAGTGAAGAGCACCGGAGTTGAGCCTTTTGTCGACCAGTGTCTTCAGTAGAAAGAGAGAGACACGACACGAAGCGATAAATGAAAATGAGGTTGATAATTATCATTTATCATGTAATTAATTGATTTATCGTTTATCGCGACAGGCCTAATTTAAAACTTCTTTAAAAAATAAACAGAAAAGTCTACCCAGTCAAACAACGTTTACTTATTCACCTTCATTAACATTACTGCTAAAACAATTAACCCTGACTAAGACTTTGCTAATTATGAAAATTCAGAGGGGAACTGTTCTGTAAGATGATCATGAAAGAGGAAAACAAGCTCCTGCTATTCTAATGATATTTAATTAGAAGACTACATTAGCCTTTGAAATCAAACAACATTTAACAGAGCTTATTAAGCTGTTGGTTCTCATGCACATGCAGGCGTGGTCCCAACAGCGTAAGCTTCAACATTAATCATGCTCCAACACACAAATCAATAAATGCAGCAAAGAGCAACAGCACGAATGAAATCCACATAAAATGCAATGCAAAGAAACTGTGAATACAAAGTGGGATAACCAGAACTAAAAGACAATGAAAGCCAACACATGCACAAGTTTTCAGTTTCACCTACAGTAAATGTTTAAAAAGTTCATGCACGTCAGCAGCAGCTGCTTCAATAAGACTTGTACAAATGGCAGCAGGTGCTGGATGATTATGGCAATTAAGAACAACAAAAGGGGATGAGAATAAATGGCAGTGCAGGAAAAAGAGGGGTGCAGTAGTAATAGTAAGCCAGAGGAATGGAGCAAGAAACCCGTAAGTGTCAGAAACCCTCACCGTTGTGAAAGGAGTAGGAAGCAAAGCCCTGGCTTTATAGTGCCAGCAGGAGATGGCTGCCAGCACTGAGCTGGCAAAGTCAGCTACCTGGTCGCCTTCCATCAGTGCATCTTCCTTGCAACTCTCCTTCTCCACTGCCTTCTGCTCCAAGCCCACCTCACTGGGTGACGAGGTCAGTTTGGGGTCACTCTCAGCAGAATTTAGGTGCTCCAGAGACCCCCCACTGGGAATAAAGTCCTCCACACACAGCCTCTCACTCTCGGGATCACCTAGACTGGAGGCCAGTGTGCTGACACTGGTGGCTGGCTGGAGGGAGCACCAGTCTCCCAGCAGGGCACCCTCACTGTCTGCATGCTGTAGCATCAAGTCACAGACATGTGATTTGTTATTGCAAGGCTTGTGTTAAAGACGTAGTGACTGCAAGGCTGTGATCAGATCGAAGCACCACGTGTCAGCAGCTGTAGCTCTGGGTGAGATACGATCTACTGCAATCTGGGGAAACTCAAAGTATCTTTGGTAGAGGTAAGGTTTGAACTTTCTCACTCATGGTTTTGGTTCGTTCAATACAAATATTAGGATGAGACATCAGATCTTTTAAGGTGTGGTTCTGCAGACAGGATATGAACAATTAATATCTTACCTGTTGTAGATGGCTCTTTGAACAACCTCAGTTTGGAGAAACGGCGCTCATTTCCGACTCGAGTAATAAATCAGTCTGTGCTAGACAAAGAACTGCGATGGAGCTTCAGGGCCATGCTAAGAATTTTTTTTTAAAAAGCCATAAAGTTACGAGAATAAAGTCGTAATATTATGAGAATAAAGTGGTACAAGACTTTTTTTTTTTTTTACAGCTCTCGTTTATTTATTTATTTCCACGAGTCGGATCCACAACGCGATCCGTCAATCAATCCAGTAGGTGTGTCAGCAAATGACCAATCTGAAGCTAAATGAGTCATAATATTATCTGAACTCCAACACGATAAAGCAGGTTCACTGCATTTTAACTGTAGTAAAATGAAGAATGTTGAGCGTCTTGTCAAGTTATACTTTAATAATGTTTTTCCAAATAAGGAGATAGTTAATCTGTCAGCACATCAGCATCAGATTATCATCAGTATCAGGAGTTTGAACCTGCTTACAGTAAGGTGGTACACTCTGATGGGCTGCGGCAGCTCTCTGCAGGTGAGGAGCATTTAGCGTCGGGTTGGTCATTTGCTGACACGCCTACTGGATTGATTGACAGGTTGAGTCGTGGATCCGACTCGTGGAAAAAAATTAATAAATAAACGAGAGCTTTAAAAAAAAGTCACGACTTTATTCTCATAATATTATGGCTTTTAATTTTTTTATTTTTTAGCGTGGCCCTAAAGCTTCATCATAAAGAACAAAGTAGATTGCTGCAATCTTTTTTTACATTTTTTTTTTTATAGATTGCTGCAATCTTAAAACAACTGATCTTAAAATCTTCTTATGGGACCTTGAAAAGGCTTTTTATAAACTTGCTACTGTCAATTTTGCACCACATATAGTTGTTCCTTTTGTACTTTAGTACAGCCTGGGACACTTTTGACTGGAAAACCCAACCATCTCTGCCAAAATAACCCTGTAATATGAAACAAATGGTGAGGTAAAGGTTTGCATGAAGTGATATGAAACTTTTAAGAGTGTTGGTCTTGACCCCGCTTGACTGAGCAGCTAGATCATCAGTCAGGTAAGAATAAAACGGTTTCTCCAAACTGAAATCATTCTAAGAGTGACCTGTCTACAAGAAATAAAATAACTGTTTATGACCTTGCCAAAGAAATGCCACTTTAAAAAGATCAGAACTATCCCTTTAGGTTGAAAGTGCTGACTCAGAACTGGGTAAACCGTATCTCACCACAGCCCAGTGAATGCAAAAGCTCAATAAAAAGGAGCAGCTTGTTTGTAACTTACCTTCAAAACAGCTGCGCGTGAAGCAAAGAGATGGAGAGACAGGGAGACAAAACAAATAAAAATGTCAAACACTGAAATAAACCATGCATTATATATTAATATATGTCCCACAATTACCTAAACATTGATTGAATTTTGTTCAGTTACAGCCGGGACACAATCTCTGCAGATGTGCGTCTGCCTCAGACTCAAGGGAGGCCCTGTGATTAGGTAAATACCGATAAGGAGCATCTCGTATCTCAGAGGCTTAAACTGCACATGATGCAATTAGCCAGGAAGCGTTGAACTTCTCCCTTACCCAGATGAGATGGTTTGACATAAAATGGCTTCTTCATTACATTGTCTGGGAAATTGGTTCTGGGCAGGGAGTGAGGGAGAACACGAGCGCAGTTTCCTCTTGTAATCGATGATACAGGAAGAGACAGCACCGAGGGAAGGATGGATTTGACTACTAAAAAGAGCTTGTGTATGGCAAAGCCTTTGACAAAAGTGGCATATAATTAACTTCATTATGGGTGAGGTAGAGAGGGAGCGAGTGCGTTTGTCCATTGATCTGTTTTCCAGGTGTCTTTGAAGAGGAACAAAGAGGTTCAATGCATGAAAAGCTCTTATCCAACAGCAGAATGACATCGGTGGCTGGGAGTGGATGTGTAACTGGCCAGCAGCCAGCGTGCACCAAACTGAAGCACCAGTAATGAATCTGCTGCTCTGACTGCCAAAACCCCACTAAACATTCAGCAATGTAAAACAACCGAGTACCAACCTTCTGTGCCCGTAATGATTTGTTTTCCTGGTTCTAGAAGAAAGAAACAAAGTTAACGTATTTACACATTTTTTGTAGTTATTGCTGTAGGATGTGCTGCCAGACGAACGGGGTAATTTTACCAGATCTCCTCCTCCCATTCCGTCCTCCAAGATGGAAGTTGTCACTTTGGCAGCTCTCTGCTTTCATCATCCTCTCAGGACTATACTGGAACTTCCCCGGATCTGAGCAAATGGAAAGAGGCGTCCTCACACTCAGAGCTGCATTTACAAAAAACATTTTCTCCACACGGATGGGCTGGATATGAACCAGCGCATAATGACAGATTAACCTGCATTCCATATTCTCCACAGAACATCAACAAGCATTTTGCTTTTATTAGCAGCATCACTGGTTGCTGTGGCAACAGTTAAATGGTCCTGGCATAGCTAGAGATGCTCTGTAAATAACACTTACAGTTTAAATTGTCCACAGTGGCGTCCTTTGCCTTCAAAGAAAGAAACATGTTTAAATTAAAGATGTCAAAAAGACAGAAATGAACTGTAAAGAATGATTTTTACCTTCTGTGGCAACATTGTGTTGTGATTCTCAAGAATGAGCCTCTTAATGTGATGGGACCAGAGTAGTTTCTCTTCTACAGACTTTGCCTGAAACAAGAGGCAGTTCTCAGTAATTTATACTGATCAATATGTTTAAGAACGCATTTTCAGAGCAAAATTAAAATAATAACAATGTGTATGTGTCGTCATCACTGTATGTTGCATACAATGGAGAGTCTCTCTGCATTTAACCCATCCACCCCCAGGTAGAGCAGTGGGCAGCTATTGCAAGTGACCAGGGAGCAATTGGGGATAGGGTGTCCTGCTCAGAGACACCACGAGATGTGACTGGGAATTGAACCTGGGACTTTTGGGTCCCGAGTCGGCTGCCCTGCCTCTACACCATCTCGGCCACCCAATAAAACCAATTCTCAGGAGCTTTGGAAAAAGAGCAATGTTGGCATTCTCTGAGAACATCCACATCCACGTCGAGCCAGTGAGATCCAAAAGACAGATGTAAAAACACTTATTGTGCATTTTTCTTAAAACTGATTGAAATGCAGAACATAATACCAGCTAAAGATGCACAAAAAGCCAAATCTTATTACCGTATTTTTCGGCCTATAAGTTGCGTTTTTTGCATAATTTACATGCCCTATGACTTATCCGCCGAAGCGACGTATTTATGGATTTTTCCACTTTATTAGAATATTTGGACTGATGCGACCTATAAGGCGGTGCGACGTGTACGGCGGAAAATACGGTATACAAAAATATCTGCTTCTTTTAGTATTTGGTTAGGTGCTTAAACACAACTGTTTCTGTTTATGTTAGTATCAGTTTTATATCACGTGCACCTTAAATATCCAAAATATTCATCTCTACTTTGACGTTTTAGTTTTGAACTCTTTGATATGCATGGTGAATGATTATCTTGCTGTAGTTTAAATTTATTGTCTTATAAATCTAAATAAGTTACAGCATGCACATACTTCTCTTTAGTCAGGAAAATGTTAGTGAGCTTTTAAACCCCAATTCATTATTTCACCGTTTTGGATGTCCGTTGTGCTTTTTCTCCTTATAAGCTCTGTTAGCGCTGTAAATCTGTGGAATTAAATAATAAACTGCTTTTATTTTCTCCACCTCATCATACTGCGTTCTTAAATCCACCAAATTATTAGGACACGTTTTCATCCAGAGCAGCTCAGAAGAAACAAAATAGATGCAAAGTCTTAACCTTAAGCCTTGAGGGATAATTATTTTTTAAAAATCCGTCAACTAATGAATATTTTTTGTATAGTTTGAGAGAAAAATAAGATGAAGTGATCTTTTTATAATCTGTTCACATTTGTTTTGTCTAGATGGGATTTGATAATCAGGTGACACAGAGTGCTCTGTGTTGCATTCTTTACATGTTTTAGCTATGATCCGATGCTAAGATAGCACTGCTTTGCACAAAGTAACAGGTCTTTAACAAATGAGTGGTATTTGTTTATCTTGAAATGTTGCAAAATCCTAAATTCTTCCTTTTTCATGCTAGTTTCCAAAAATCTCTAAACTTTCTCATTTCTTGGTGAACATAAACACGTGTTTTGTTAACCTCAGCCTTTTGGACTTCACTGTATATGCAAACTGTCAGCAAGTAAACAAACCGTTCTACTAAAATGTGTTCAAGCTGCACTGTGCTGCAGGACATGAAGCCAGGCTGCAGGTACCTGCACCGTATGGGGCTGCTTAGGTCGTTTGAAATGGATAACGCTGAACAGCAGAGGATCCTTGGCGTTTGCCAGCAGCATTAAGGTGGAACACTGCAATGAGAAAGACAATGTTGTTGTCTTATGATGCAGTAGCATTGTGATCTTTTCTGGTTTTTTGTCATTTATCTTAAAACTACTCATCAAAACTGAATAATGTAAAAGAAATCCCACCGATATATGGATCTTATAGACGTAGTTTTCTCCTCTTTTCTTGGTAATAAGAAGCATCTTTTCAAAGAGGAAGAGCGTGCGGGTGTTTTTCGCCCTCAGCACATGAAAGGTGCCCTCCAGAACCAGCTCTCCATAGGTGGTCAGGTCAGAACCCTTCCAGTTGATCAGCAGAGACTGAATCTCCTGTTTGAACGCACAAATAAACACTCAGCCATGTTTTCTTATTACAAATCATTGTTAATACCACAGAATACAGGCGTCAGCTCCTGTTTGTAATACTAACGCACTTTTTCAGCAAAGGAAATGCAGAAAGTTAACAAGCAACTAGAAAAAATGCATTTCCTGCGAAAATGCAGTGTGAATGCTTATTGTTGAAAAACAGCTTAAATTAGCTAAAAAACATGCTGAAATATAGCTGAAATTGAAGAACAAGCCTAAGTTAGCAGGAAAAAAGCAGAAAGAACTCCTAATTGCTAAATTAGGTTTAAATAAGCAGAACTGATCACAAACATTTGGAAATTAGCAAAAATCTGAAATTGGCAACAACAACAAAAATGCTGAAAAGTAGCTGAAAAGGCAGAAAGAAGCTTAAACTACCAGGAAGTGGAAAGAGCTGAAATGAGCTGAAAAAAGAGGAATTGGCTGAAAAAGCTAAATTTAGCACAAAACAGCTAAAGTATCTGAAAAGGCAGAAAAAGCTGAAACTACCAGAAAAAAAAAAGCTGAAAGAAGCTGAAATTAGCAGAAAGAAGATAATTAGGCTGAAATTAAGAAAAATTACCAGTAACACAAAAACTTGAATTTATCTGAAAACAGCTGAAATTAGCTGGAAAATGGTAAAATGCAATAAATAAAAAAAGGTAGCTGAAAAGGTAGAACAAGCTTAAATTAGCAGAAGA